GGGCCTTTCATTTTTTACACCGTAGTTTATAATTAAAGCAACCTGCACATTCCAGTTTGGCAAAGCACGGTTTAACCTGTTGGAGGGGCCGGTGCCCTCGCTGCGGGGTGTACTGGGGCTGACCTCTGTGAGCCCGCCAGCCCGGTGCACGCCCGTGAACTTGGAAGTAGATCACGTTAGGGGGGGAGCTCTTTCTCACTTTTTTTAAGGGCCTGCAGACATCACACACACTCCAGAGTCAGTTAATTGCCAGATAGGACTAGTGCACACGTACTTAGCGCACACCCTTGTCACACAGTTTAACAGTTAAGATAATGCACAGTATTCACTACGTGCCAATCACTGTCCTACATCACCGCCACCCTGTGAGAAACAGGTCCAAAATCCTTCGTCTGAATCTTGCAGGTTTTGTGTGCTTCGGAATTCAATATTTTTTTATTTCAGAAAGTCAGAGTAATATGATGTACATGCCACGTACTTTGTAGTATTTCGATAGCATCCCAGAGTTAAAAGCACGAATATTTCTACAGCAAAACGAATATTTACATTAACATATATAAAGACAGACCTTACATCAATTCAAGTCAGGTTTTGCCATGAAACTAATTTTTTTCAAATGTAAAAAAAAAACCTTACTAGTCTTCAGTGCTTTTTTAGATTTTGGAAACGAGGAGAAAGGAAGGGGCACCTACCCCTCATTCTCATTTCAGAGATGAGGAACTTGGCCCGCGTCCCCCAGCTAGCGTGTAGCAGAGCCGGTATCCGCCCAGCAGCCCCGCTCCGGGTCTGGTCCCACCCTCTCTGCCATCTGCCTCTGGCACGTCCCGGGTATCATGCTGAAGACAGTTTAACGTCGTCGTCTTTACGTGTATTTACGATAAGGTTCATGAAATGTTGACGGACGTTGTGAATGATTTCCTCTTGGAAAAGTTTCACACTGTCAGAATTCTAAATTAGTTAATTAAATTAAAGCATGTCTTGAGATAAGAAGCCAGGCTTTGAAAAAATGGTTATTATTTGCTGTGCTAATCTGAATGAATCAGTTTGGATGTCGAATCGGTTCTCAGAATGTAGCTTGTCCTACGATTTCAACTTCTTGTCTAGACAGCCTATTTTCCCACACCGATTTGTGTTTTAAAAACTAAACGTTACAAATTCTCCGCACTAGAGTTCGTATATTTAGATGGCGGTGCCCCGTGTACGGTCACGTTTGGTCAGAGGGTTTGCCCCTGAGCGTTGCGGGAGCTGCCGCCGTGACGATGCCCTGATGGCCAGCGTGCAGCGAGCCGGGGTGGGGTGGTGCGAATGCCCGGGGGGCGGTCGGGATGACGCTGGAGCCAAGGCTGAAAGACGGGGTGGGATTTGCAGGCGAACAGGCTCCTGAAGTAAGTTCTGGGCAGAGGGAGTGGCGTGTGTGATCACGCAGTCATGAGACTGTTGTCAGCTTCCCGCATGAGGCCCACGGTGACTCCAAGCACAGCTCAGTCTCCTGAGCGATGTCACTGTTCTAAACAAAAGTCTCGAGACCCCTTGACTCTGCTGGCTGGGCAGTTTTTCTTTTAATTGAGATAATTTACATAGAGTGGACTGCACAGGTCGACGAGTTTTGATTTATGCACGTCCGTGTAACCTGTGTCCCATACGCAGAGCATTTCTGTCACTCCACATAGCTTCCAAGTGACGTTCAAAGCCCACGAGCGAAGTGGCACAGGGCGTCCCCCAGGGCTCATCCCCGGGAGCACAGCACGCCGCACTCGGCGAGGTCACTCTTGCCGCTGGTGGCAGATAGTGTTCTTAGAAGACTTCTCGCTTCCGTTGCTTTGTCGCTAATACTTCCCAGACTTTGTCTAATGGATCAGACTCCGCTGTGTATTGAAGCCTTCTGTTTTTAAGGCGACGTGCTTGCGTGTGGTCACTGTCATTGAAGCAGCTCGACCTGTCACTGAGTGCTTCGCTGAGCCGGGATCCCGCGCGGATGTCCCTCCGTCGGCACGTTTTCGGCGGGGCAGGCTCCGCCCGAGGTGATGCAGCCGTGACCTGCAGCCCCTGTCCTTGAGCGTCTGCTCCCGTCTCTGACCCCAGCGTAGCTCATGTCCCTTCTGAGACGGCTCCAGGCCTCAAGCCCGCTGCTGTGAAGGCGGCCAGCGGCGGCCGGGCCGCAGGCTGTTTCGAGGGCTTTCTTTCCTGCCGGGCGCGGCTTAGGGGCAGAGTAACTTTGTTTCTCGCTTTCATTGCTGGGCGCACAGTAGATTTCCCATGTGATACTGGGTTCAAGGCGGGGCTTTGATGTTAAAGTGATGAAGTCCTGTCTGGGTAAAGTCGCCTTCGTGTTCCGAGACAGGAAGGAAGTGCTGGAGCCGCCATTCCCCGAGCCTGGCCCGTCCTCCCGCGCTGCTTCCTCGTGCCGTGTGCCGGCGTTGGAGACGGGGTGGCGTCGTTCAGGGAGGAAGGGCTGTGAGTGGAAAGCCTTAGTTTGAAGTTCTTAGAGTGAGAGGACGTGCGAGTCGACACCAAAGCTGATCTGTGGGTGCTGAGTCCCCAGAACCGAAAACAGGGCCTGCAGCCCTCACCTGCGGCTTAGCAGGACGGCGTGCGCAGGCCACTTGTGCAGGACTGTCGTAGCGGCGTTGTGCGTGGTGCCCGTCGACGGCAGAACGGGCGAACGTTCATGCAGCAGGGTCCTGCCCTACAGTAAAAGTGGACAGGCTACTGCGGCACAGCCACGGGGCCCTGTCTTACGGACAGCGCGTTCGTGGAACATGCCTGGCCTGGAGGCACAGGATCGCATCCATCATGTGAAGTGCAGGCTGGGAGTCAGGGCGGTGGTCCCCTGGGTGGCGGGGGCAGGCCTCAGCTGGGCCAGGGTAGGCAGGAGCCTTGGGCTGTCTGCTCTGTGTCCTCATGGGGCCAGGGAGGTTTGGTAGGTACATACGCATATGTAAATAGGTTGAGCTTTACACTTAGGATTTGTACACTTTATTGTATAAAAGTCACATCTAAATTAAAAAATAAAAGAACACACGTACCTGCTACGGAAAATACTCATCCCCAAACGTTAGGTCTGCGATCCATTCATACAAGCTTTTAAATATCAGTGGCCTCACTTTCTCTTTGCTGTCAGTCTTCAGGGCGACAGTGTCCTGTAAAGGGGAACAGGAGAGTGTGGCCTCCTGCAGTGGCAGACACAGTTCCGGAAGCGCGCGGTTGTGACGGGCCGTCTGGCTCTGGTTCCCTCAGGCCTGGTCCTGGTGCTCGCTTTTCACCCGGGCGGGCGACGTCAACGCTTCGAGGGAAAAGCTCTGATGTTTCCCCTCCGAACACAAGTGGCCTTCACATAGGGCAGGCCTTTCTCGGCCCAAATGGAAACGCTGGCTTTGGAAAAGTGTAACAGGGGATCACTGTGCGTAAAGAAACAAAAGTAAGTCCTTTCATGTGATTTCCACGCAAGTAAAAATAGATGATTCACGTGAGTACGTGAAACAAGCACCTCAGTCCGTTAGCAGACAACACTGTGCGTAAAGAAACAAAAGTAAGTCCTTTCATATGATTTCCACGCAAGTAAAAATAGATGAAACAAGCACCTCAGTCCGTTAGCAGACAGTGAACTTCAGTTGCTTTTGTTGGGGTACAGTGAATAAGACCCGTCCGGCCCACAGAAGGTGCTCGCTGAACACCTGTGGACTGATCGGGCTACCTCGTGTTGCCTCAGACAGCCAGTCCTGCCTCTCCGAGAGTCAGGGCCCTCACCTGTGACTGTCCCTTCCGCCTCGCATTTGGATTGAAGCATTCTCTTGGCAAATGTTTATTAAGCGTCTACTGTGTGTACGTCGCCGTGCCAAGCCCTTGTGTGATCTTTGTAAGGACCGTTCGGGTTGGGAGGTAGGTTTGCAGAGGTGCGGCGCCTCGTCCAAGGGGCTGGAGACCGTCCACAGGAAGCCGTGCAGGCCATTCATTTCCTCCCACCTGTCCTGTGTCATACCAGGTAGCCGGGGTCCAGTGGGGAAGGGGACAGCCCATAGCCTCTGTCCTCATGGGCTCCGTGTCCAATGAGAAGAAAGAAATGTTCACTAATTGGCACAAGGGGAGGACAGATCACAACGACGTCGGCATTTTGTTTGCCGAGTTGGCTGAGGGTTTTAAATGACAGCTCGGGGGAGCCAGGACACAGAGAGGAGCCTCGTGCGCTCCTGACAGAGGCGAGAGCGGGCAGCTGTGGGCAGTTCGGCAGTGGACACTGTACCCAGAACTTTCGGACGTTCAGATGCTCCTACTCAGGCATTCCATTCCTAGAAATCGGGGCTTTAGTCAGATTTGTACCCGAAGTGTTTATCTGCAGCCTGTCGATACGGACAGTGTTACTGTTGCTATTCTGAATGACACTGTTGAAATTCTGCAAAGGCCCAAATGTTCAACAAACGGCAGAACTGTTTCTTTTACATGACACAATGTGGCAGTAACTTAGTACTGTGCCGATGTCACTTCATTTAACCCTAACCAACAAGCTGTGCAATGGGCACCAGTACTGCCCCACTTGAAGGCCCAGGCCGCCCTCTGCCCTTTCCTTGTTATGGCGGCATCCGTGCCGTGGCCATGTGACATCCTTACCTGTTTCCACTACGTGACGCTCTGTGCAGGTGATGAGACATAGCACATGGTTTCATTTTTGTAAAAATGTTTTAGAGAGAGAGAGAGAAAAAAAACGCTCATTTCTCCATCACTTCCCCCTGACAAGTGCTTGCGACCGTGTCCTGGGCGCCAGGCCCTGGTTAGGTGCAGCGAGTGCAGGCACGTGGGACATCAGGACGCTTTGTGGGAGGGAGGAAGTAGTCACTGCGTGATCCCTGCCGGACAGGGCTCCCTGCGAGACGGCGGGCCGCAGGGGACAAGGGAGACGCTCCTCGAGGGTGGCGAGCGGCCGGCGTGTGCGGCCAGCATGGGCAGCGTGGGCGGCGCGGGCAGCGCGGTCAGTGTGGGCAGCGCGGGCAGCATGGGCAGCATGGTCAGTGTGGGCAGCGTGGGCGGCGCGGTCAGCATGGGCAGCATGGCTGCCGGGGACAGCACAGAATTCAGTGCTCCGGGAGCGTGGCGCTGTGGCAGGCTGGGGCCGCCTGGCGGCTGGCGGCCTGCTTCGTGTCGTCTGGTATGAATGAAGCTGCACACTCCTGTTTACATTGAACAGACTTCTCTGGTTTCTGTATCCCGGATGCATGGCAGGGAGGGGACTCGTAATTGGACCGTCGTCGCGTTGGCATGACAGCCAGGCACATGTCAGTCTCACTCCATCAGAAAGCTGGCATCGTGCCTGCTCATTTTCGTCCTGGGATGGGGGTTCTCTCGCTGAAGCGGAACTTGCTTTGC